AATCATGAAGAAGGGCTCATCACTGTTTGGGACCTCCATGTGCCACTTGTCATTATACCCCTCTTTGGTCCCCATTTTTGCATGATTATTAGCCTATTGTGTCTCTATTTTGGACTTTGATCCGAACTGAAAATGGCCCTATTTTGACCCCCTCTTCATGTTTCATTAAGGGTCCATGGCTGTTTGAGACACCCTTTGTATACTTTATGTTGTAGCTCTTTTTTGGCCTTAATCTTGCATAGTATTTGAGCATACTTGTATACTTTTTGGGCTCGGCCATCAACTGTAAAAGGTCATATTTTGGGCCCCTCATAAACATTGTTGAAGGGTCCTAATCTGTTTGGGTCAGCAGCTGTGAGTTGCTTCTTATCTCACATTTAGGGCCATTTTTGCATGCTAGTTTTGCCCTATGTGTGTTTGTGTTTGGCCTTGTTTAAAACTGAAAAAATGCTTGTTTTGGGGCAGCCTAGAATCTGTCTCACATGTCGTAATCGAATAATGCATGTTTTATATAGCTATAGGCCAATGCATGGGCCTAGTTTTGCATTTCGGTTTCATTTCATGCATCGGGTGCTATTTTGCCGTGATTCGGGGCTGTTTTGTACCACATTTCAATGCTGAAATTACATGCTTGTATGCCATATTTCATGCCTCACCATGCCTTGTTAGAGTTTCATACTATGCCTTAGGTTTGGTCCTCGCGTTTGCGTGCATGCGTGCACGCGTTTCGAGAGTCTCATTTTCATCTAATGGCCACCGATTTTGGCATGCTTGTGAGCTATCCATGTTAGTTTAGTCCATCATCGCATGTTGTTGCATGCCATGTTTACTTACATGTTTAGGTTGCGCGCCTGGTATACATTGCTCATTTGCATGTTCATGTTGCATACTTAGCTCCATGCTAGGTTGCATTTCATTGAGCATGCATCCCTTGCCTCTTGATCGATCATGATAGGGGTTGGGGCCCTTTATGTTTTTGTGCTTGCATTTCATTTGATATCAAAGTTGCAAAACTTGGCCTCTTAGGCCATCATGCACATGCGTAATTGATGGCCCGAGGGTCGAGGGTCATACTCCCTTGAGTCCCTTGCATGATAGGGAGTGTGCCCGCGAATACATGTTCTTGAAATTCTATGCCATGCACTGTCTGTCCTTGTTGCTATCAAAAACCAGCTTCTGCAGGAAGTTTCTGCCGACCGGCACTGAAGAATGCCGACCGGCAAAGTATATGAGGCCGATGGACTTGAAAGCAGCTGATGGAAATTTCCCATGGCCGGTGGTCATTTCACTTAGTCGGTGGTGTCATGCAGCTCTCATTGAAGATACCCTGAGACTTTGGAAATTTTCAGAGGAGCAGGGCAGCATTAACAGAGGCAGCAGTGGCATGGTATGGGTTTCCGGGCAAAATGGACCGAGCATGCATGATTCGCGCATTCCGAGGCACGGCTGCGGCCACCTTCTGTCTGCATTTATTTTGTTAATTAATTAAGGGTCTGTAATAATTAATTAGCTAGGATAGTTGATTTGTTATTCGGACTGTATTATTCTTTCAGTCCCTCCGAGCGAGGGCAAATTTGTAATAAGTGTGGGTGCGTGTGTGCATGTCTTCCAACCTCACATCTTTCTTCCCTTTTATTTACCCGCTTATCATGGTAGACTAGGGCATATTTAAATTAGCATACCTTATGCTATGCATGCGTGCATTCATACATTTGTCTTGCATGTACCAGGCTCGGTACATCACGCTAATTGCACTCGTATTTCAATTCCAAGTTGAGTATTTGTTAGTTGCAGCATTTCACATGCCATGTTTAGGATAGCCAAGCCTGTTTGGATTGCATCTTTGCATGTGTTGCATCAGCCATTTCAAATATGAACTAGGATCATGCATGTGATTACTAATTGGTTTCTGTTTTGGCTTGGAGTACCCGATGAGCTTTTATGCTTTAGCATGCCGCATGCGTGTGAGTGTTGCTATAATTGCATGATTGCCATGAGGCTAGCTGCTTATGTGATATAATTGCTTGAATGCCTGTGGATGAAGGTCGAATTGCCTAAATTAGGATAATTCATTAAAACTGCGAGTTTTAAGCCCACTCGATAGTGGAAAAACCATTATTCCTAAAAGTCCACTTGAGGGTGGCAAAACCTGCATTTTAGCCTACTTGCGAGTAGCAAACCATTTTCAAAACAAACATGCTATGTTTTGTTCCAATTTAGGTGATTTGGTCTATACTTGTTTGTTGTGCGCATAACATAGTAATTCTAAGCTAATAACCGGAATAAGAACACATAACGTTTTCAAAATCGGATATCATGGTTAGTAGAGGCCGATCCTCGGATCGGGGGAGAGGGGGTGCTCATAGCTGACCTTCCCCAATCGTACCCAAGCTCCTGAGCCGAGGCAACTTTGGTGATGATGGACACGTGGCCTTTGGCACCGAGTCAGGGTTTCTTAAATTCCCCCACAAAAAAATATTTAGGTGGCGACTCTGTATCTGGCAAAGCAGTCCATGTTTGGCACTTCTTTTCAAAAATCTGTTTCTCAAAACGATTTGCCGGATTTGGACTCTTTGGTTCAGATTTAGAACCACAAACAAAATCGAGTCCGAACTGTAGTAGCAAGGCCCCCACGCGGGCGCGTCTACAGGCATCTGTGGAAGCCGTACTGGGGGTAGGTCCTTGGCATACCGAGCAATTTTCCAAGGTTACTGGTGGCCGTGCATGCAGGCGGACGCTCAGAAATATGTTCGTAGGTGTGAGAAGTGTCAGAAGTTCGCTCACCAGATCCATCAGCCGGCTAGAGATTTGCTCCCTCTCACAAGTCCTTGGCCGTTCGCGCTTTGGGGATTGGATATTGTTGGACCACTCCCAGCAGCGCCGGGCAATCGCAAGTTCTTCATCGCCACCACCGACTACTTCACCAAGTGGGTGGAGGCCGAGCCACTGGCGACCATAAAGGAACAGGATGTGAAGAAGTTTGTTTGGCAGAACGTCATTACTCGCTTCGGTATACCCAGGGCCCTCGTCTCAGATAACGGCACTCAATTCGATGGGAAGCTCTTTCGCGGATTTTGTGAAGAGTTGAAGATCGAGTTCTACAATTCGACGCCGGCCTATCCTCAGTCTAACGGTCAAGCAGAGGCCTCAAACAAGACCATCTTGGATGGGTTAAAAAAGCGGCTTGAAAAAGCCAAGGGGAAATGGGCTGAGGAACTTCCCAACGTGCTCTGGGCATACCGCACTACCCCAAGAAGGTCGACCGGGGAAACACCATTCGCTTTGGCCTACGGCATGGAGGCAGTCATCCCGTTGGAAATTGGCATGCCAACCATCCGCTCTGAAAGTTTCCAGCCTGATCTGAATAATGAAGTCGTGGCATTGGAATTAGACCTTGCCGAGGAAAGAAGGGAGCGGGCACTAATCCACATCGCAGCTTATCAACAAGAGCTCTCCAAGAAATACAACAAGGCGGTGCACCCCAGGCTATTCAAGGTCAGAGACTGGGTTTTGAGAAAGGTACTTGGCAACACGGTGGTCCCCGGCGAAGGAAAGCTCGGTGCGAATTGGGAAGGACCATACAAGGTGATTGGTCTAGCTGGCAAAGGGGCATACCATCTGGAAGATTTGGATGGCAAGGCTGTCCCCAGACCATGGAATGCAGCCAACCTTAAGGTTTTTTACTTTTAAATTGTAATTTGCTTATGTTGTTTAAGCTTTTCCAGACCCTTAGCCTCTTGGCACTAGATGTAAAAGATAGCAATGCTTTTGTAATAAAAATAGCACTCTTGTTTGGTATTACATCTCTGTACAATGAAATCGCAAGGATACAAGGCAATCATGGATGCCAGGGGCAAGGAGATCGCCCTGAATGAGACCGGTCAGATTTTATCTCGCTGGAATGGAGACAGACCGCACAAAAAGTTTGCGTAGGGAAAAAGTTCACATTAGCCTAGGGCCAAACTGGTTTCCCTCGCCTGGTCGAAATGTTGGCGTCATGACCAACCTAGCTGAAACATTGGTGTTTTGCCCAATGTAAGGGCCAAGCTGATTTTGCTCAGCCCAGTCGGCATATTGGTGTCTTGTCCAATATGGGAAATGAGCAGATTTTGTTCGGCAGGATTTCTCGGTGCTGGCGTTTTGTCTAACCGATAGGAGGCCGAACTGACTTGGCTCGGCCGAAAGGAAATGTTGGCAGCTTGACCAACTCACAAGGCGAGCTGATTTTTGCTCGGTCTCATTGATGTAATGGAAATGTATGATTCTGCAAACATTTCAAACCGAGCGGATTTTGCTCGGCTACGTTACAATGTCAATCCATTTAAATTTTCAAGGAGCCGAGCTGCCAGATGCTGGAAAACATTCTGGGTGATTTCAACTTGGCATATTGTGCGGCTCAGCCGACTTGCCAGTTGTGAATTATCAACGTTTAAATTGAGACATTTCAACCGAAAAGAAATAGATGATATATATGGACAGAAGGTTCAAAAGTTTCATTGATCGAAGAAGATTCGGTACAAAGGTGGGGCCAGGACCGGTTACATGCAGAAAAAAAAGGGGGGGGGGGGAATTATCAATCCATTTCAAGATGGACAGTTTGTCCGGCTGCCTCCACCGTCTGCTCGGGCAAGTTTTCCTCGGCGTCGTCGTCAGCACTATCCCCCACAGCAACATCCCGATCAGCCACTCCGTCATCTTGAGATGCTTCGGCAGTAGTTTGCTCGGCTTGTTGCACAGCGGTGGCTTCTTCCTCGGCCTCCTTCCTTGCCTCCGCAATGAGCCAGTTTTGGGTAGCATTGGCGTAGGCCTGCATATAGACCGGGATATATGCTGTAGGGGGTTCACAAACATTTCGGCATCCTGACCAAGGCCAACTTTTTCCACGGCAGCCTTCCAGCCGCACTGGAAAAAGATGTCCTTGGTCGCTTGGACTTGGCGCTCGTAGGTTTTCTCCTCCTGCTTATATCCATGGTCCTCTGCCTCATCGACCGCTTTGTCCCTTTCTTCCTTATGGGCGTCGCGCAGCTTTCGCAGCTCGGCGAGGTACCGAGCTTTCATCGACTTCACGGCTCGTTGTTTTTCCTTGCTAGCTCGGTCGACTTTTTGGAGCAAGGTATCTCGCTCCGCCACGAATGCTTCTTGCGCGGTCTTGAGTTGCTATCTCGCCTTTCTGGGCCTCGTTCTCCGAGATGGCATCGCGCAGGCTCTGCCGCACTTTGATCATCTAGTCGTGGGCCAAGTAGTTCTTTTACGCGGCCTGAAAACCAATGAGAGATCATTAGTACTCAAAAAACCGCGCAAAAACTGAGCAAATAGTTTGACATAAGAGAATGGAGAACTTACCAGCACTATGGATTTCGCTGCCGAGCGCAGGACCTTGAGGTCGGAGAGCTCGTCATGTTTTTTCATATCGGTGGGCAAGATTAACCCCTTGGTCAAATTGAAACCAAGCGAGTAATCTTTGTCCGCGTAGACGGAGTCCTCAGAAGAAACTGCCCGGCCCTGGTATTTGAACTCGGGTGCCCAGACCGGGGGGGTGGCTGGGCCGTTGCCCTTGGATTTGCCGGCCAGCGGTTGCTCGGTCCGGTCACCCTGTTCGGTTGAGGCGACCTCAGTTGAATCCTCATCAACGAGGTTTTGCCCGGTCATCTCCTTCCTCGTCCTTTTCTTTGATCGGCCAGCCGGTTGTTCGCTGGCGAGAGCAAGCACAGCTCCTTCTGTTTGCCCGGCTGGGGTTGAGGATGTTCCCCCGGTCACCTCTGGAGGTTGGGACTCCCCTTCTTCTCCAGTAATCATCGATTTGATCGCCCTTATCTTGGTCATTTCTTGCTCGGCTGTAAGGGGGACGAGTCTGATTGGTGGCAAGTTGGGATCTGGTTCAGGGGATGGTGTACGTAGGAAGTCGGTGAGTCTGCTCTTGCGCGACGCTTGGTAATGGTAGGTTTGGTCGAAACCGAGAAGTTTTGATGCCTCCCTCTCCTCGGCTGGATGGCGAAGCAGGACTCTGATGGCCTCTTGGTTGGCCTGGTGGTAGTCCGCTGCTAGGTACTTATCTGCAAAAAGGAGGTAAGTGTTAGACCGGTGCAAAATTATAATAATGAAATTCAGAAAGAGGATAGTGCGGTCAGTCGGGCTACTCACCAGCACTGCCAAAATTTTTCCTAATGTACCAGCCCGGTATGGGCGCCTCGGTGTCCTCGTAAGCACCGGACACCCAGAGGAAGTCGTCGTTGTTAGTTTCTTTGTCTGGGTTGCCTTCAATGAGTTTTGCTCGGCCCTTCTTGACTTTGAGGTACCAGCAAAGCCCACTCTTATTTCTACTTAGGCTATATTGGTGGAAAATTTCTGCAAGACCGAGATTTGAACCGAGCCTCCGGTTCAACTTGGCCATGCCGTTTATTATTTTGTATGTGTTATTCGAAACTTGGGTCGGGCAAAGCCTCTTCTGCCTCAAAAATTTGTAGATCAAAGGTTGCACGGGGAAGCGAAGCCCTCCTTCAACAATGGAAACGACCGTGAAGGGGCAACGGTCTAAGTCGCCCCATGGTGTGTCTCCTTTTTTGGCGAGTTCTAAGACGACGTCATCAGGAACGTTGTACTCCCTTCTAAATTCAGCCATCGCGCCAGGCTAGCTTACCATAAATCGGTACTTCCCCATTATCTCGGTTTTATTTGGTTTGGTATGTATCCCGGCCAAAAATGCTGGTGTATTTGCTCGGACTTTGAGCTCCACCAGTGGTAACGCTGAAGGGTTTGGTTGGACCTAGTTTGTTCTGCATTGATTAAGAAAGAATTTCAAGGGTTAGCACGGCATAAACTGCACGGCTCACGCTGGATTTTTTATCTCGGTGAATGTTTTTGGGTTTTTGGTCGGTCTATCCCTATCTCGACTGGACGGCACGGCTGATTTAGCCTTCCTGGTCTGGCTCTGATTTTATCTATGGTTTAGTCAAGGCAAGTTTTTGCTCGGTTAGACCTGTTTGTCGATTTTATTAAGCATTTAGCTCGGTTGCGGCCTCAGCGAGCATCCACAAACCATTTTGGCTCGGTTTAAACTCTCTCTACGGATTTAAATGAGCATTTACCTCGGTTTTGAACAGTGTTTATCCTGTTCATCTCGTTTATCCTATGGTCAAGGCTCACTCATTCAAACTAAGGGGAAACAGGGGCATGAAAGCCCCCTCCACTCCACCAGTTCCAGTTTTCCTACGGTATGGCACTATTGGACTAAAAAAGAGGAACCTTAAAGGTCCCAGGCAGGGAACACGAAGCACAGTGGCAAAAAAATGCAAAGAACAGGGAGAACTGGAAAACGGGAGCAGAAAATACAAGGGAGGGGTAGTGTGACTTACCGAAAACGATTGAGAAGTGAGTTAGGCCTCGAGAGCTCGACTGCAACGTCAGGAATGGCAGACACAGCAAGGGGCAGCAACGGTTGGGAGCTTGGAGCGATGGGAGGCTAGGGTTTGGAGCTTTGGAAGAAGATGGAGAGTAAAGGGTTCGAATGACCCTTGGTCTGTGCATAAAAAGGGGAGAAACCACCCAAACGGCGCAGCCATTTCAATTCTGCACGTGCAGAACAGCTGGCTGCACGACCCAATGGCGTGAAGCCACTTGGCACTGGAAACGCGGCTGTCAGTACGGCTGTACGACCCTTGACAAGACTGCCGGCACGATGGCCGGCCAAACGGGATAGCTCGGCGCCAGATATCTCCTCATGATACTCGGCTCGGTAATGGCGCAATTCAACCGATTAGCTCGGTCACAGAGGTAAACCCAATCACGATAGCTCGGATGGGTTTAAGGGGCATTTGAGAGGGGAGATTTGCACCTGATTGTACGGCCGAGCTGAGATAACGTCAGACGTGACGGACCACATAGCGCCGAGCTAATCTCTGTTGACATGGCCAGCGGCCTGCCTTGCACGGTCGGAAATATTGACCGGTCAGGTACCAACCGGCACAGCTGAACTACGTCTTAGACGTGTTGGACAGAGCTTGGGTTAGCGGATGCTGACCAGGCTAAAAGGTAACCCGAGCTAGTCCGTGGGCGCAATCAAGGCCGGTGCACTTTCGATCGGTCAGTCGATATAAAGTGGCTTCGTGCGACCGAGATTGAAGGTAGACCGATTGGAGGTCGGCATGCCTCGCAACCGGATGGTCATGATGAACAGACCAATGATGGTTTGGCCGAGGTGGGCAGGCTTTCACCTGATTCCAAGTTATAGGTCTGCGACGCATAGCTCGATTATGAGCATGTAATAGCGACTCTCCACACGTGACAGGCCGGTCGTGGTACTCCGGTTAAGTATGCCACCTGGGCCAATGGCGTGAAGGAGAGGACATCCGCTCCACGCACGCCTCAATACCGTTGGGCAGTTCTGTGTGTACTGGAGGGAGGACTAAGCCTTTACACGCGTAAGGTGGTGAGAGGCGAGCACTGCCACCTGTCTAGGGAAGGACAGCAGAGGTAGTGCGTGCACAATCTTGAGGCTGCATGGCCAGCCTAGAAATAGGGAAGAAGAGGGGCGTTGGAGGTAAGCGAATTCATCTTACCAAAAATTCTCTCCCTGATAGCCTTCTTCTTCAGCTAGTGGTCTTACTTGATCGTCGGAGGGTCTTTCCGGCACACCACCGCCGGGTAGCTCACCATTTTTGTGTTGCAGAGATAGACGCCGTTACAAGAAGCTTGACGACCAAGGAGTACGGAGAATAGAGGATATTTCGCCCCCGTACAATTACTATGATTGTTGTGGTGAATTCATGTGAGAAATGGTTGGGCATTACACTATGGTTAGCTTTGGGATAGGCAATGCAACTGTGCGCTCTTCCACCATCACCAAGACAGTAGAGGGCATCACCAGCACGCTCTCCAC